AGTGTTACAAAACAAGAAGGCTTTAGTTAGATATGCAAAATTAACACCTGGCGAACATCTGTCGGTAATACGAGACGCGATGCCCTTATATGGCGAGATCTATGATAAATAAATCGACAATACTCGTAGTTATGAAAGAAAACAGTATTAGCATAGAGACGAACTATTGAATTCGCTCTTGTTAGCAAACTTTATTTAATTCATACATTTATTTTGTACGCAACCAATATTAAAAATAACTGCTTTTAATAAAAAAAACCGGGCATGTGCGAGTCGGACTCGCCCACCGTGGGTTCCGTACAAACCTGAATTTTCAGAAATATTTTTATTATTTATGATGTAACTAAAAATTTAGGGTTTTCGCAATTTTTCCTTTATAATAAAATAATAATCATAATCATATCCTTTATGTGTACTATAAGACGTTACTTCGTACTTTCAAGATTCTAAGTCCACGGGGTTTAGTACCCTGTAGGTTTTGATTCCCGTGCGAGTTTCGAAAATTTGCGGAAATATCGCGGCATAAACTGATGCATATTTTGATTGCTTTGGGTTTAGAAGTTTGATTTTTTCACAGCTCCAAGGGACAGCGTAGACCTGAGTATTGGATATGAATTTCAGTTTGATACAGAGGTATACGCGTTCCTGAGAAAAACATTCTTGACAGACGGACGGACGGAGAACAAAGTGATTCTATAAAGGTTCCGTTTTTTCCTTTTGAGGTACGGACCCCTAAAAAATAGTTATGTGTTTCTTATCTTAGGATTTTTCGGAATGTATATTTATAAAAAAAACTGTAAAAAACTTGTAAACATTGGAAAGGTAAGGATTGTTGATAAAAACCAAGCCTGTATTAATACACAACTTAGGAACCTACCAAACGTTTAATACTTAACTATTCAGGTATTTTAAAATACTGGGCAAATTTTAATATTCTATATTTAAATTGTATCGAAATATAAATAATAGCTTAATAAAGAAAAAAAAACGATTAAAACAATTAAAAATTTAACCGACTTCAAGATCGAACCACCGATCATTTGGTGTCGACCCCCAGACCATGATAAAATTACGGATAACTATCTCGTGTCAAATACTCTACTTCCGTTTCATCGAATCTAAGTCACAACGATACTAAAGAGGTTTTCACTTTAAAAACAAAGTTTAAGGCCGCATCTACATTACATACAATACAAGGGCCGTTGGTTCCGCGAAGTGTTGCTAAGGTCAGCCCATGATTGGCGTACACTAATAAACAGCCAACTATTTACGGAGCCCGTGTCCATTGTACGCACGACACGAAGGTTTTGTCGAACGATTAATGTTTATTGTTAAACGTCAAATTATTTAATAAAACATTAGCTAAATTATCAAAAGACCTAAGCAAAGTAATAATATTCCAACGGCGATAATATAGGAACTTTGCTGTAACATACACATTTTAAGCATTTACGGCCAGCCATTTTACTGCACTAGGAACTCTGCACTAGGTTCTATTTCCAGCATATTCAAATTCAAATGATTTATTGTGTAATATAGGTTAGTATAGCAATTTGGTGTTAGGTAAAAAGTGTGTGACTACATTTCGACCTTATTACAAGGTATACAATATTTTATAAGTAATAATCAGGTTTACAATTATATAAAAATCAAAATTATTATATTACAATTACAAAATAATTACAATTTTAAAAACAATAATTACAATAAAAAAATTGTAATATAATAATTTCAAAAATATTAAATAAAAATCAAAATTATTATTATACAATTTTGATTGTTCAAACAAGTCATAGTCAGATATAAATGTCAAAATATGTTTATGTCAAAATTACTAAGCAATATTATTATGTCAAACTAAAAATATATCATAATAATAATAAATTGTGCTAATTACCTTTTATTAATATTTTAGGCTATTATGCCTAAAATATTAATAAAAGTTAATTAGGTAATGATGTCCATTTCTTTTAAGGAAGTGTCACTAAGAAACTCTTGTGTAGTATAATATACTTTGTCAATAAACAATTTCATTAAGCGTTTCTTAAAAATAGTCATTGGCAAACTCTTTATATTATTAGGTATTTTGTTAAAAATTGCAGTAGCCATACCAAAGACATTATTGCTAAAAAGTACAGTTTTACGTTCCATCGCACATAATGTATTATCCTATGCCTCGTCTATAGTTTCTACGCGAATTCTGTTCTTTAAATGTTGGAAACATATAGTAGTTATTTTTGACGAACACTGCAATTTCATAAATATATAAGGATGGTAATGTCAAATTTTCAACTGTTTAAAGACCTCCTCGCAACTATAGACAAGAGATTATACAAAATTCTTTAAATGCAGTTGTATTTAAAGTTGTTTGTGTAAAAAATCTCTAGTTGTAGTAAAAATACTTTTTTTCCAAATGGGCAAGTCATGGGACGCATACGGTCTTACTACAAAAAGGTCAAACAGTTTCAAATCATGTTTAGGCAAATTTTTATGTCATTCTTCTTTAACTCATGTTGAACACAATTCCCCTTATTAATAAACAAGGAATAAGCTTAGACTAGTTACACCGTGTTTTGTTCATGTCACCCAAATGCCATTTGTCATTCAATAATTGGCGACAAAACATGGATTAACTAATCCAAGCGTAATCTTCATTTATTAATAAGGGGAAATATGTTTAACTTTTTTGTGGTAATAAGGCTTCTTTTAATATTAGAAAAGTCGTGGGACATTGGAAACACGTTGCGGGTGCAGCGAGTATTGTGCGCGATACTGAGCTCGCCGGCTTTCTTAGAACGCCATATAAATTATTTAGTATCGACCACGCTAGGCATGTGCGATGACTATTAAATAAAGAGCTGGATCTATCGATAAAATCTGATGAGGAGCTCGAGATAGTCGATGACCTCCGTGGCCGTATGAACGCCGGGTTTCAAGGTGTCGCCTACTCAGAGGTCCCGGGTTCAAATCCCGGTGGAGCCAATATTAGTACGAAGAATACGAGCAATTGTACCTAAGTCATGGATGTTAATATGAATATCTAGATCAATATTATTATATATGTATCAGAAAAAATATTCTTTCCGTTACCCTAGTATAATACAATAATGACGAAAAATAAATATTGACGAAAATATATAAATACTATATAACCTATTATCTATCTTATACTTAAATCTAAGTTTGTTTACTTTGAGCTGACCAAAGATTTAGTCTGGCATTTTAAAGAAGGCGGAACAAAGAAGTCGATGTCTAATGTTGGTTAAGTATCATAAAAAAATATCATTTGACGAATTTTGGCTCGCAAGTCGTTTGTGCTGCCACTCAGAAATAAAGTGACTGCTAACGCGGGTTGTGATTTTGACATAAATTTATCGAATACCGAACTATCGACTGACACCATCCCTACACGATGCATGAAATCGCTTCGCCTCGGAGCTCAGCGTCGCTCATTTTATTAACGCAAGCAAAATTATTTAATATTTAACAATTCCGAATGATTTCAAGCGTTTTCAAGTGCGCTGTGTCCGCGTATAAGTACTTGTTGTTTTTATTCTCTGCACTTGTATGTTGTACAATGCCAAGTAAAAATATATTTTAATGAGAATGCTATTTATATTGGCAAGCAAATGTACATGTAGGTTTAAACGATATTGTAGACTGTTTTTATTTGCGATGAACAATCTGATTTGTTGCTTAAAACCTGGTTAGATCAAGCTCTCTTATATAATAAGCCTGCTTATCCTGTATAAGAACTTATAAAAATCTACTTCTCATGAAACAATAGATGTGAGATATATTTTTAAATAACGATTATGTATTTAAATTATTAAAAATTGTTTGGAATAATAGGGGTGATGACGGGGTAAAGTAAACGAAATTCTATTTAGTCCGTCAGTTAGATGATCAAAAAATAATGGACACCTATTTTTTCTTTGGGCAATCAACCAAAAAATGACAAAGTTATACCGCGTGAAAGTTTGGGAGTAGGGGCTCGTGACGTCACTTTTATGTGAAAATTGTACCAAAACGTGACGTCATGCGACTTTTCAAATCAATATATCTCTGCAATGTTTATATTATGTGAAAAAAGAAAAAATACGTGTCCAATACTTTTTGTTAATCTACCTGATAAACAAAGAAAAAAAAATAGCTATCATCCCTATTCTAGATAATTAAATATTTGATGGTTATGGAAAAGAATGGGCGTAAAGAAACTCAACAACATGCAATGAATAATATTACATATCCAATAGCATAATAACGACAACTTACAAACATAATTACTTACATATAAGATTGTTTATCACGTTGGCAGTTTATAAGACTGCTCATCTTACAATAAATTAGTGTGTCCTATCTTATATGATTCCTCGTCTTCAGCTTATAAGCAGCTTATAAGATTGTTTATCTTACGATGAGTCAATATGTCTTATGTTGCTTATCTAGCGTTACAGAATATGAGTCTCATTTCCAACGAAGCTCGGAACATAAACATGTTGAAGTGTAGTTTGAGTTCCGTGACGACAGACGGCGATAGTGAGTTGCGTACAGCTAATATTACTTTCATGAAAGATTTCTCTCGTTGACTGCTTCTAAAACTGCTCCCCTATCGGTTAGTCAGTACTGTGTCTTATCTTTTAAGAGTCTCATATCCAACGAAGCTCGGAACTGAACATATTGGACTGTAGTTTGAGTTCGGTGACAGCAGAAGGCGGTAGTGAGTGACCTACAGCTAATATGACTTTCATGAAAAATTTCTCTCGTTGGCTGCTTATAAGACTGCTCATCTTATAATAGGGCAATGTGTCTTATCTTATACGATTACTTACCTAGAATCTTACAACATAAGTCTCGTATCCAACGAAGCTCGGAACTGAAAATATTGGACTGTAGTTTGAGTTCGGTGACGGCAGACGTTGGCTACTTATAAGCCAGCTCATCTTACTTTAAGACTGCTCATCTTACAATAAGGCAATGTGTCTTATACGCTTACTTACCTAGCGTCTAAGAATATGAGTCTCATATCCAACGAAGCTCGGAACATGAACATGTTCGAGTGTAGTTTGAGTTCGGTGACGGCAGACGGCGGTAGTGAGTGGCCTACAGCGACTAGGCCGAGGGGGGCAGAGCCTTCACCGAACCTTCGCGCTCGGAGGTAACCGGAGCAGTGGATCACCTAGGGATAATGGAAGCTTTAATCTCAAATTAAAGAACAAAAGGCAGATGGAGCACACGGAACACGCAATAAATAATAAAACTAAAATTAAATAAATATATCCAATACTCTCTCACACCAATTAGCCTAGGTTCAAAGTAAGCACTGTAAGGCTTGTGTTATGGGATGCTAGGGTAACGGATAGAATACATATACTCTACACACACATATATATATTCATATATATATTTATATAGAAATACATATTAAATATCCATGACGAGTACAAATGCTCGTATTCATCACACAAACATCTGCCCCCACCGGGATTCGGTCCTCTCAAGTCGGCGACACCATGACATCCGCTGTACGAACCACTCGGCCACGGAGGTCGTCATGCGTGGCACATAGCAAATACCAATTTAAAAGCGACTATCAATTCGCGTCAGTACACCACAACGCATCGTGTTGTGAATACGTCCCGTGAATATTCTTTTAATTAAAACTTTGCCGCTTTGTCATTCACCGTAAAAACTTGCAGCCTAAGAATGGCTAGAGGTATTTCGACGCGGTCCGTGAGGGCCGCGGTAGCATAATTAGTCAGTGCATTCGCCCGGATTGCGAAGGGTGCGGGTTCGAGTCCCGTCTGCTGCCTGGTCCGCGTGGAATTTTTTCTATTTATATTTTCTTTAGATGGAAAGTAGCAGTTTAAATAGTAGCCTTTAATGGTCTAAAATGGTCCTTCGACCTGGATATTTTAAACTAACCTGTGCTGTGAAGGGATACTCATTGTATAAGTTTTACATATAAGATGGCGTACCTTGTAGCCTGATGTGGTAAGACCTGCGTTCCTTTTCGCCAGTACACACTTCATTCTGATGAAAAAAGCTCTTTCACACTCCACGTCTACAGAAGGTCCCCATGTGCCTCCCACAGGGTACCTGTAAAGATAATGTTTTATTTAATTATCATCATTTTAATGACCCCACTGTTGGGGCACAGGTCTTTCCTATGGATGGAATAGGGCAATTTGACCATGACCCACTACACAGGCCTAGTGCGGATTGTTGGGTGCTAACGAATGCAGATGCAGAGGTACGTATATTGCTCATATTCATCATACTAACATTTGCCATACGGGAAGGTCGTCATTAATTTTTTAAAGTATAGATAACTTTTGGATACTCATTCGGTGACAGATTTCTTTGTCGTACTATTCGTAAGTGGAATTCTTTGCCCGTGTACGTGTCCGTCCTTTCTACAATCTGGGGTCCTTTAAGAGAGACGTGAAGAAGCATTTCTGCAGGCCGGCAAGGTGAGGGTAGTTGGTGTAGCAGTTTATAACTGCTGTACCAGCTATCTTCGCGTATGGACTTTATCACCACTTAAGATCAGGTGGGGTAGAGTCATTTGCCTACCTGGCTATATAAAAAAGAAGAAAATGTATTATAAGGTTTACATACCCTAAAGATGGATGCTGGTGGCCCAAATAGGAGTGCGGATGTTGAAGGCTGAGTACAGCGCTCATCTCCTCGTGGTCCGACTGGTGGATGTATTCATAAATCGAGTTACCCGTTAATTCGACCTGGGTGAGAGAAACTAGGGTTAAAATCTATATCTAAATGAGGCATATGACAGTGTGCAGGAAGGCCGATGGAAGATATTTCTTCCTCCGAGTTGGGTGATAGTAAGTTGATCGGGCGTTACATATATGGAGTGTTAGCCTCCGAATTTCGCTTGCGTAATGTAGGTTTCCATACGTTATGAGCGCAGCGCCGGTAGCGCCATCTCTTAAGGAGGCGAGTGACTATTTCGTATATGTCGGTTATGGAGCATGTAAATGTTGCCGCCACAAGTGTTATATAACCATAACACAGTATCTCCGTAACAACTATACTGCAATACTATATCCCAGTATCACGATAATTTTGATCAATATAAGATACCCCGATAGGGATGAGAGCAGACTTGTTTTGGTTTTCTTTCTCAAAATGTAACAACAGGTTACGACTAGGTGAAATTTCTGCAACAGCCGATATTTCCATAACACACACGTACTAAGATTCCATTGCTTCGATAGGGAAGAATAATAAATGCGCTGTTAAAAACAAACTAATAAAAACGTTTAAAACAAATAGTTGAAGTGCAAGAGCCGATTCGACTTATTCTTTTTTCAATTAGGCTTACTAGCCCAAAAATGCCTCAAAGGCTACTAAGGTAAGGCTTGTGTTATGGGATACTAGGGTTATGGATAGACTACGTATAGTGATACATACAAGGATATTTATCTAGAAATATATATAAACATCCATAACTTAGGTACTAGCCTTGTGCCCAGTGGGCGGGGACGATGCTTAAACGCATACTCCCCGTTAAAAAAAAGGTACTAGCTACTAGGTGTATTCATCATACTACCATAACATTTGCCTCCTTGAAACATACCACTCGTCTAAGGAGGTCGTCAAAATTATACCCAGTGTCTGGCGAGATTGTAACGGTATACATATAACCCAGTTACTGCTGGAAGAGTGCAGTTCTTTGCCTCTATTAAAAAAAACAGAAGACCAAAATATTCCACCCACTTCTTCTTGCTTACCTGACTAAGTCCCAAGTGCACAGAAGCGGTTTCACTGATGTACATGATCTTGCCGTCAGGAGCCACCACGAAGATGAATCCATCCAGGGTCTGGAGTAGGTGGGAGCCCAGTTCACGTATCGCTAGCTCGCGAGGCTGTGGAGGTGGAGGGGCGGCTCCCCAGGCGTCTCCCAAACCTGGATCAAAAATAGTACGAATGAGGTTGGGTTCTGTTGGCGAGTAAGGTTTCAGGACTCCACGGAGGAGAGGATTGGGCACAATCTGACAAGAGAACTACCGGATACGCATGATTACAGGTAAACATTAGTGTCGATTCTCGAACTTAAAACTAAATTTAACATCATTCTCTCCTTTTCATCCCGTATAGAGAATAATAATAAATTTATTTATTTCTTTTTACAACTATTAAGGCACATAAAATACAGGTTAAGCAACACTTAAATAATATTATTAGGCGTTGTAAGAAGCTGGTGTCCGAAATAGGCGTTAACCTGTGCAACGGATCACCAGGTCCTTACCCCTGGCAAATAATCTCTATACATTATTCTTCATAACCATAATGACCCTGTATTTCCTAATATTTATTCATGGTAAATACAAAAAAAAAACAAGATAAGAAAAGAATGACAGAAATACACTGCTGTCAAATTTAAGTTTAAGTTTAGATAATCATGCCAGAATTGACACCAGTGTTAGCTATTACATTAATTAATTTTATAAACGTCAAGCGCTAAAAAAGATCTTGTTCCGTAGGGCACTTCTAAAGAAAATTAAGAATTCTGCGGAATCTCTATATAGAGTCGGAATGGTTGACGAAAATATTCAGGGACGGTCTCCAAAAAGCGCAACAGATTGGAATGATGTTTGACTACCTAATTGACTCCTTGGTTAAGTTTAAACCTATCTACATTTATATTTCGAAATATATACTAGCCGCAGCTCAAATAGCGATAAATGGCCAATTAACGACACCAATTACGAAGCAAACAAATATTTACTTTATTAATAATACTAAGTAGCGGAGTGTGCTTGCATAAAAAAACAGTCAAGTGCGAGTCTACAGTTTCTATTATTTACGAGTACATGACATAATATTCTGGCCAAATTTCATAATAACTAAACAGCGAGAATCAGGGTCGTCTTTAACCTATTGGAGACCCTGGGCATATTAGGATAATGGGGTCCCTATGACTTTGATGTGGATTATAACTTGAAATGGAGCGAGTCATACTGATTAGTGTACTACTGATGATTTTTCTTTAAAATGTGTATGTGCTTAATAGTATACTACTATATGTATATTTAAATTTATCTAAGCATGCTGAAGTCGGAAAGCCTAATTTTTGGGCGAGAGTGGAATTGCTTCGCATATTATGTAAAAGCTAGTAAGTTCGTATTGTAGTCAGTAATTTAGGTTCGATTTCATCGAATTATTGAAGTTTTTTGGTAATAAATATTGGTTATCGTTTGGTGATCTGGCAGGAACTAGGGACTTTGTATTTGATCTGAGGGAGGCCCCTATCCTGGGCACTTGTCCAAAGTGCCTACTGGGAAAGAGGGGTCTGGCCAGAATAGTACCATAGCAGGTTTTGCTTTCGATCCCTCCTATGATTTGAGCATCAAAATGTGCAGCATAAAATAAGCTTTAAGGAGCTGTATTTTTTGATTGCATTGACTTAGAAGTTTCCTTTTTTCACTTCTTATTTCAGTTTCATACCTAAAAGCGTTCCCGAGAAAATTAGTCTTGACAGGTGGATAGAATAACAAAGGCTTTCTGTAAGATTTCCGTGTTTTACTTTTATGGTTTGGTATTTAGGGTATAAATAAAAAATGTGTCTAATGACGTCACCAAGGGGATAGAGCAACTGCAGTCCTTAGTCCACTCATTTGACTTGTTTTCCTGAGCAAACACTTGTTTGGTTCCTCCACGACGAAACTCGTATGAATTCACTAGATGGTTTCAATCCCAACTGAGTTCATATGAACTGGCCCTCCATAAGCCACCGACTGGCGACGTTCTTGAATGTGTCCCATAAGGTCCGCCTCTATATTATCACAAACGCTCTCGAAACAAAACCATGAAATTACTAGAGACTACTAGAGAGAAGTTCGAGTGGTGCGGTTCATTCTAATATGAGCCTTATGCAGTGCGGCGTAAGGGAGAAAGTGCAACGACATCTGCACTCGTTTACAACTTATGCGCGTTATCTGCGTAGGTATAAGTAGGTACTACGCACTCACGGGTGCTAGTTAACTCTCAATTTTACGGGACTTTTCTAGAATGCGTCCATTGTTGTATATACGTGGGACACTCAGAAAGTTTTGAGAAACTAAAAAACTAACTTCTATGAAAAAAATATTTTTATTAAATCTTTTCAAAGAACTCTCCACCAGCCTCCATTCAAAGTTTCATGCGTCTGAACCAATTTTCAAATAATTTTTTCCAGTCCTCCGCAGACACCTCTTCCACGGCATTCTCACACGCTGCTAGCGTTTCTTCCAGCGATGAAAACTGTATCCCTTAGAGCTGATTTTTTATTTTAGAGATTAAAAAGAAGTCACACGGAGCCAAATCAGGACTGTAAGGAGGGTGTTCCAAGACTCTGACTGGTGTGGAGTCCAGCAAGTCCTTCATTTTGATCGCAGAGTGCGCAGGCGAATTGTCGTGGTGAAGAAGGACCCCGCAGAACCCGGTGTTAGGTTGCTTGTTGCTCATTGCAGAAAAAACTTCTGGCCGGCATTTAGTGTTATACCATTCGGCGTTGATGCTGCTTTGTTCTCGAAGTGAAATCATAATTAGGTACCCCATCAAAGTAAAGAAATTAGCGATAAATATTTTCCCTGCTCTCCTCGATCGCTTCACTTTCGTAGACGTTGGTACATTTTGAAACAGCCAAACTGTCGACTGACGCTTTGTTTCTGGATCGTATTGATAAATCCAGGATTCGTCACCTGTCACAATATCGTAAATGCGCCGTGACGAGCCTGCATCAAATTGTTGTATCATATCACTGCACCAATCCATACGGGCCTGCTTCTGAGCTTCGGTGAGGTTGTGCGGCACCCAGCGGGAAACTATCCTCCTTACGCAAAGGTGCTCGTGCAAAATCTTGTGAACACTTCCTGAACCAATCTGCAGATTATACTAAATCTCTTCGTACGTAATTCGTCTGTTTTCTTGAATCAAATTATTACTGCCTGCACACTTTCTTCGGTGACGGCCGACGTAGGACGACCACTCCTTTGTTCATCCCCCAAAGTAAGACGACCGCGTTTGAACTCGCTACATCAGCGGTAGATGGTTGCTTCTGAAGGTCCTTCATCCATAAAAGCAGTTATAAATCGATCAAATGACTTATTAGGTTTTAAGCCACATTTAAAATCGTAAAAAATCATAGCACGAAAATGTTCTCGATGCCGATCAAATTTTTAATGAGACAAGAAAAAATTAATTGGCTCTCGAAAAAATGAGGAGAGAAATTTGAAATTCCAACTGTGGTATTTTTACTTTTAAATAATCGAAGTTTTCAAAATAATTACAAGTGGCTGGGTCTTACATAAAATCTTTTTTTCGCAAAACTTTCTGAGTGGCCTGGTAATCGCGATTGGCACCGCACAGAGACCGTTGAGATTCAACAGTGATTTCGGAACGGATACAAAGGCGATCAAAGTGCAAGTGAAGTCTTTAAGTGTGATTGTTTAAAGACAGTGTTTAGTGAGTGTATAGTGATAAACATTATGTGTTAACTGTGTGGTGAATAAAGAACTGTCAAAGCGTGAATTGGCATATAATTTCGAACCCCATCCCGACACGTAGCAGTATATTGAAATAGTTATTATACACATAATCTTACCGTCAGGAAATACTTGTCGCATCTTCAAGTAACTCGTAGTAAGTCTGATCACAGAAGCTTTGTCTAGTTGCGACGTGATGGCGGACGGCAGCGGGAGCAGTTTGGCCAGCTCCAGGAACTCAGCGTTCTCTTTCTCTCGCCGGGAGCGCGCGGCGTTCTTGCTCTTCTCTTTCATGATGGCCGCCGCGTTGAGGTGCAACCGCGCCTCGCTGCGGCAAGCTGGAGACAAAGAATAGTAATCTGTGAAAATCTTAGCAAGCCTTTGTAAATTTTTTAACTCGACAACGGCAATACCTAAAGGAATATTATTATTATATTTTCCACCGTAGCATTTAGCTACTGAACCAATTTTGATTAATTAGGTGTCAATCTATTTGCCGCTGTGTTGAGGCGCAAGAGCGCCTCTTTGACTGTTGTCGACAAAAAAAAGTAATACGTGATAATCGCACCAATCTTTTGTATTTTTTTTCCGACTACGGGAAAGCTTTATGAAAGTGTTATTGATTTTAGCTACATATGTATTTTCTGCAATAGCATTTAGCTACTGAATCAATTTTAAAGAATTAGGTGTCAATCTATTCGCTACCACATTGCGATGTAGATTTTTTTTTTGAGTGTATATACTGTTGGTCGCAGATGACCCTTTATAGCATCACCGGGTTTGGGGACGGCGAGATCCTAAGGAGACCTCAAGCCGAGAATTGGCGAGTGCCTCTGGAGGTATTCCAGGCGGATGGCGTCTCCCCACGGGGGGAGTCTCCTCTTCGTCTGGAGCCTCCAGACCACTCGAACCTGAGGGGGTCGGCTCAACTAGAGGGCGTCTCTGAGACTCGGACCTCGGCTCTAGTTAGCCGTTGTCGTGGGGGGCGGGGAAAACGCCCAGGTACCTGTACCTGGTATAGTGTGATGTGGGTAGACCGGGTCTTCGCACTCTTATCCTACGGGTGCGGTGTCTGCCTAATGCTAAGCTAGTGTGCCCGTTTGCTAGCTGTGTAGTGTTGGTGTTTGTGGCCTGTGTGGGAGGAATCTGAGGCGAGTAAGTGCGCCTCGTTGCGGCAAGCTATAGAGTATAGGCAAAGAAAAATTAATCCGTGAAAATCTTAGTAATCCTTTGTTTTTTTACCCGATCATTCAAAGTCGTTCATGAAGTTAGCTCCGTTACTATGTTCAGCATAGTATTTAGCTACATGACAGATTTTTACGAAAGTGGTGTTTAATAAGTTACAAATAAATTTAGAAAAAAAACTTGCTAATTCTATCACTGACCTATGGCACCAAGAATTTACATGGCAAAAATTATGCATTCCGAAATTAAAACACATCGTTAACGAACTTTGATGCATATTTATGACGGAGCGGCTTCACAGGGTAAGTCTCATACATAACACAATATATTCTTCGTTTGAGTATTGTTATAAAAAGGGGTGTTCTATTAAAATATAGTAGAACCTAAAATAAAACTAAAAGCGTGTGCGTCTCGGGACGTACGACAGAAGTGATAAATTAAGGCAGAAACAAATTTACGTGTTTTGTCATGTTATTTATGTTAAACTAATCTAAGCGGGGCTGCGGGTTAGTGTGAGAGAGGAGTAGCCTGCCTACCGCTGTCGTATGCGTGAGAGGAAGAGAATTCAGACAGACTGGCGCCGTAACGCGTTACGTAACGAAGTGGTTTACTCTCCCATAAGAAGTTATCACTTCAATGAAAAGTTTGAAAAAGGGATTATTTAGCTTTCCATCACCTTTCATTTCATACCTACACAGCTAAACATTGATTATTATAGGCATCCGCTTCGTTATCCTAACACTTAAATATTTTAATTGCATTATTTTTCTTAACCTACCTATTTTATTATACCTACCTTTAATTTTAAACATTTAACTGCAAGATGTTATGCAAGACGGGATTCGAACCCGCATCTTGCGCTATCCGTACGGACGCACTAACCTATCCACCCGGATAGCGGAATATCCGGGTTTGAATAAGGCAGAAACATATTAGTGAAAGAGAGAAAACAAATGTGCGCGCGCACTGCTTTCTCTAGCTTATATTCCCCACTCAACTCCCGTTCGCCTCGCCTAAACACACTTTTCGCAACATGTAACGCATTCGCCAGCTTACCTTACAAGTCGTCAAGAAGTTTCACTTAAAAAATCTCTTGATAGCATTTTGTTTTATGTCTCAAGAAACAAAAGAAAAAAAAGTGCTTGAAGCTTCAGATTCCTGTAACTTTTAGTCTAAAATTTTTCGTAGTTTACGACAACGGTGAGAAATTTAGAAATAAACTCATAATATTTTTTTTTGAAGAAATCCTTCAAACTAAGTTATTTTCTTTCGAACATGAAATTTTCCATGAATGCAAATGGCAACACCGCCGTACAGCACACAGTGGGCGGGAAAACAACAACAGATGAATTATTCAAGATGGAGGAACACAAACAAATGACCTTGTGTTAAGATGTGAGGGTGGGGTAGGTTCTTAATTATGGAGGGAACCTTTGTGCAATTAATTGGCTTGAGTTCAAATCAAAACAAAAGAGGAGTTGTATTTACAGTTTTAAACTGACAGGGAAAATACGTTTAAAATTGATGATATTGGTGTCAATTCTGGAATGATTGTCTAAAGCTAAACTTAAATTTGACAACAATAAATATTTCCAAGTCTCACACCAATTAGCCTAGCCCCAAAGTAAGCACTGTAATATTTGTGTTAAGGGATACTAGGGTAACGGCTAAAATACACATATTGTACATTTAAAAGTATATTTATATAGAAATACATATTTAACATCCATGACTGGAGTGATGAATATCACACAAACATGTGCCCCCACCGGGATTAGAACCCGGGACCTCTCGATTCGGCGACACCATGAAACCTGGCGTACAAGCCACTCGACCGCGGTGGACATCAAACATGTAAATGAAAAGAAAAGGAATGAAAAGGACAGACTGATGTTGAAATTAAGTTTTAAGTTTCGAGAATCCTGCCAGAATCGATTCTATTGGTTAATTAATCACTGCAACATGTCGATGTTTAAAAAATATCCTCCAATAATTAACTGACTATTATTAATGTAATTAAAAGACTTAGTAAAATTAATAAAAAAATATTATTATAAATTTGCATGTAAATGGTAGTTTGGTATAAACGCTGGCAAAAAAGTTTCCAGAATGAAAAGTTCATATTTATAACTCCTTTAAATTTATTAAAATGGGATAACATATGTTTAATGAAAAACCGAAAGATTTCTTATTTCAAATGAGTAACACAAACACGTTTTTATACGGTATGAATAATTCAACGACTATATTCATGCACAAATAAATGACCTCGCATTGGACTTACGGGGTGTACGCCCTTTGCGTTATTGCGGCAGTGGGCGATGACAAATTGAGCATATGGCGGGAAGGAACGACTGCAAAGGTGCTATTTGCGATACACATGTTATTGTAGCTTAATCTCATGTCTTTACGGACGATTACAAGATTATTAAATTTTTAGCCTTTTTGGCGGGAGCGGAAAGCGTCACTTTAGCAGTTTTGTTTTTCATGTTAAAAATTGTGTTGTGGCGGATGTTAGTGTCTAATAATGGTGGATTATTAACCTGTACATGCAACACTTGTACATGCTCCCAAACACTTAGTTGTTTGGGAGCATGTACAAGTGTTGGCAAGTGAAACAAAATAGCGGAAGGTGTCTTTCGACGTTCCCTCAAGAAGTCCACGGGGAGGTTCCAGTAAATCCTCACACATTTACTGAAACATAGGGAAAGGGGGATTGACTTGACTGCCACTTAATTTGACTTCTTTTATTACTTTGACCACGAGTGCTATAGAATTTGTAAACATTTTAACACTTGACATTGGCTAAATGCACAGGCCATGCGAAGCCATTTAGGAACTCTACTCACTACTTTGTACAGTGTTAAGGGAGGTAGGACATAGCAGTTTCCTCTCTGGAATTGGAGCGCCCGCGCGGCCGTCTGGGGAAGTAACTTCCGTTTTACAGGAGACCACAGAATATGACAAATTAGGGTTTTGGCGGGAACGCGCGCTGGGCGGGAAGAAGCGACTGCAAAGGTGCTATTTGCGTAACACGTGTTTTTGCAGCCTAAATCACGTGTCTACGAGAGACGAGAGATTACAGATTTTTACTGAGATTTTTTTTAGAATAAGGTAGCAAAACTTTTTATTACTTTTTACAGCATTATGAAACGTAAGTATATCGGTTTTCTCACTGGATTTGGAGTGTCCTTCTACAGAACTGACCTCCATCTCACAAAAAACTTATCACAGTAAAATAACACTGTCATTTTCTGGTGTTGTCTTTTGTTGGGGAATAAATTTCCAGGGTTCCAGGGTGAGGATGTCTGGAGCGCCACACTGTTTTGCAATTTAGCTATCTTCGCAACCTGGACTCCATTTCGAATAACTCTTACAGGTGGGGTAGGGTAATTTGCTGAGGAGTTTAAAAGAGTTCACCATACTAATTGATTGTCTTGTTTCCTATACATTACACATGTATGGGTAACTACATACATCCAATGGTGTCGATTCTGGCACGATTCTCTAAATCTAAACTTAAATTTGAGAACAGTGTTTCCTTGTCATTCTCTATACAGAATGAAAAAGAGAGCCTGATGTTAAACTTAGCTTTAAGTTTAGAGAATCACGCCAGAATCGACACCAATGTCTGTCTGTTTATGGAAATTCTGCTGGTAAAGGTATTGTTGCAAATAATAAATAAGAGAATAGTCCTTTGCGCTTTTGTAACGTGTTTGTGGATTTTCCGGTACAAAGAGTTATGTATGGTATGTATGGTACTTACATCGATCATACAAATACAAATAAAGCCATACAAATGGCTTGTAAATACAATCTTTTTCATGACATGACAATCTTGTGGCCAAAAAAATTCAAGTGTATTTAAAATGAGCTTTACAATCAGATAGGTGATGTTATTATCAATTAGAATGTACTAAGACGTTGAAAAAAACTTTTTCTTGCACATCGTAAATATAGTAGAACATATTGTATTAAGTAAATAATTTAATATAATAACGTATTCTTTTGTTATGCAATGTTACTTTTATTGTTTATGTAAGTACTTACCTTACTTTTCTGTTATAGTAAAAATCGAGTGAAAAATCGCAAATGAATATGAAAATACTAAAACAAAAAAAAATGCTTAGAATGCTATAATATTTTTTTGCAA